TCTTAGAACTGTTAAGGACCAGATGATTTTTATTATGTCCTGATACGTAAAACCACAGAACTCAAAGAGGGAGTACTTTCTTTTTCACACTACTGTATACAGGAGAACTCAATTTTATTTATTTTTTCTTTAAAACGTGTATTCAAATCTAGAGGAAGAGAGACATAGGGCAAGTAATACTCACCTGGTGGTTGTATCAAATTCAAAGGGAAAGATGATGTCATTTTTGTTGCATATTTGGCAGATGAAGCCCCTCTGAGTACAAAGGTCACAACTGTAGACATGGTGGGAGGCAAATTGGATCAGTGACTGGAGAAAAGCTTCAAACACACCGTCTGATATCTAAGAAGAGAGAAGGGCCATAAGCAGCTGGTGGGGAGGAGGGAAACTACTGTACTTCTACTTTTGTTTTTACAGGAATTCTCAAAATATGGAACAGCATTTAAAAACAGCATGACAACCTCTGTCATTCAGCAAAAAAAAGGCCAAGGCCCCTGTGATGCCAATCTGATTTAAAACTCTTCAGCATGGAACAGCTGGTTTTGCACCCAGGTTTGATCGATGCCCAAACCCGAATACGTGTGTTTCGTAAGTTTTGGTTCATGCACAAAATTAAATAGACTTGCTTTGCAATGTATATGGTTGTGTCCGGGCAGAAGTGGTTTGGAGATGGTTAGGTACAGGAATATGGAATGGACACTGGCAGCAACTGATGGCTGGCAGGGAAGGGATGGTGCTGAGAAGATCAGCGAGGGGGTGGGCAGGATATGCCATGGTAGATAACTATTCCTTACAGCTAAGACTATCACAATAAGAAACAGGCGCACAGATACGTTACATTGGCAGTGACAGCCAACAGGAGGGAGGTAAGGGAAAGTACAGGAAGGATCATGGGCGGGGGGTGGGTGGGCAGACCAGTGAGACATGTTGTGCTTGGACACTGGCAGCAGCAGCAGCAGCAGGGGAGGCAAGCAAGGGAAGGCGCTGGAAAGATGGGAGGGGTTGAGGGCAGTGGGACATACTATACTGAGAGTTAAGGAAGAAAGGAAGGGTGAACGTGCCCTTCTTGTCCTGTAAAAGATTTTGGCATCCCTCCAGATTTTGTTTCATCCAAACCCCAGAGGAACTAAAAAAAAGTGCTGGGTTTTGTTTCTGCTGAACTGATCCAAAATGATTTGACAGAACTTCTGGAACACAGCAAAATTCGTTCTGAGTTTGAAACAACTTAGATTTTCCGTTTTGTGCATTCCTATGTTTAAGCATTTCAGCAGGTGTTAATGCAGATCCAGTGCAGGTAACAAAGAATTTGCAACGCACAGAACTAGGAGAAAGAACTGACGCACAGGATACATATTGGGTAGAGAATTCATGGAGAGTTTAGCTGTCTGTTTGCAATACTGTTCAGAAAGGGCAAAGAAAAACATTGCCTCTGAACATGCACAGACCAACTTTCAAGGGCTTTTTGCTTCCTGCTCTGCACTGACTGCTGCAACATCTCACGGTGGGTAAAATAATTTGTATGGGGGTTTGCTAAGTTGTGATTGTGGGGAATCTGGTTTAGAGGGCAAAGGGATGGGTAACATTTTCTTGAGCTGAATTTCCACCTGCCTCAAAATTGAAAAGCTTCTTCTCGCTAGATCTCCTACCTGCCTCAGGTCAGCCACACTGTATTTATGGGGACACTCCAGGAGGTAGTGCCGGTGGTCAAGCCTTCAAAGAACAAAATCATTAGTGAGAGTTTATTAAAATTTGTTGTCCACAGCATCCCAGGAGTTTTATAGGACATAGAAGAAATACAACCCTGATGAGACAACAAGGACTCTTAAATGCTTCTTGCTCCATTTCTGCACACAAGCTGGTCTCTCTTGGCTGTTTCATCCATTCTTCTTTTACTGCGTGCCTCTCTTCCCCACTCCCTGCTTCCATCAAACCACTGTAACACAAGATACTTTTTACCTGACCCACGGTTTTTGATCTCAGTTAAAACTGATTCTTACACCATTGCTCTACCCTTTTGCTGGCTTCTCTCCATTTCTCAGGGATCACAGACAACACACTGATGGTACTGAACCATGGCCAAATTGGTTACTGATGCATTGCGATTTTTTTTTTTAAATTTTCCAGCAACATTTTTTCTACAATGAGAATTGTAGAAAATGCACATTTTATACATATCAGACTGCACAGGTTTGGGATTAGGAAACTGATAGCTGCAGAGACAACAACACCCCCAGAAGTCTCCTGTGATATCCAACAAAGGCTCCTACCCTCCCAACATGGGGAGATGGAAACAACCTTGCCCTCCTCCTTTTTCTCTCTCTCAGTGCTTCTGGGATCCATTTGGAGCCAGACCAATCTTCAGACAGAAAAAGAGAGAAAAAAGAATAGCTAAAGGCCAGAACTCTTCTATGTCCCAAACAGCCAACACTGAAACAAAAGTAAGGGTACTGCTGCTCTTGCTGACTAACTGTGTGTGAAGAGGGCCTGAGAACGTGCGCATAAAACAACTTCTGTGGAGGCAGCTGTGTCTATCTGATGAATGAATGTGGTGCACTAAGCATTTGTAAGTGGCTGTGTGCATCCATACCCACGTACAATCCCTGACTGATTAGCCAGCATCATTTGTAGCTCTTGGAAGCAGGCAGAGGGCTGGAGTCAATTCAGACTTAATAGATTGATTTGGAGAGGGGCCTCTTATGCCTCTGACTCACCTCTTGCTGATCTCCTTCAGAGCTCCACTGCGACAAAGGACAAGGTAGTCTCCAAGCAGCTTCAGCTGCTCACGTCTCTTGTAGATCTGACTCATTTGGTCTACATGGTCATAGAGGGTTTCATTCACCAGCTTCAGGTCAATCAAGGGTTGATTTCGAATTTGGGCTAGGAATTTCAGGGCCTGGCAACAAATCTAACAGATACAACAAGATGAGAATGTTCTTGTAAAAATCCCTGGGTGACATCTAGGAAAGCAATGCAAAAAAATTATGTAATTTACAAAAGGAAATCCAGATAGTGCAATTCTCATCGGCTCACTTCCTAGTAAGTATTTTCTTATAATTTGGACTGGGGGCTGGGTTTATGTTCTGACAATCTCAAGAGAAATTATACTCTCTCTGTTTACTGAGCTCAGCCATAGGGAATACAAAAAGAAAGCAGAGCAGCAGCTCATGAATTGAAAAATCCTAACCAGAGCACTACCTTGCCCTTAGGAGATTTCACACTTTGGGGTCCCTGCCACCTCCAGCTAGAACAGTGTTTCTCAACCTTAACAATTTTAAGAGGTGTGGACTTCAGGTCCTAGAATTCTCCAGCCAGCACTGGCTGGGGAATTCTGGGAGTTGAAATCCACACATCTTAAAGTTGCTGAGGATGAGAAATGCTGAGGGAGGGAGGAAGGGAGGGAGTCACATTTAACCAGTCTGTTTTGTAAAATCCGCACCTAACTGAGCTAACTTGCAATGCAGGTAGGGCACAAGGGAAGGAAATCCTTAAAGATATTCACAAGCTTTTCTCTTTCATAATGAAGACCACACTCATTTTGTGACCATAGTTGTGCAGCTTTCTCTTGATTTTGGGATTTAAAAGAGACATGAGAGACAATTTCACACACAGGACTTGTGTGCTCTATGCCCCCCTCCCACCATTACTGGGCATACCGGATATCTGGAAAGATCCCAGTTATGAATCAGACGTGAAGGGATCACAGACTCTTCATCCTGGTGGCAATTGTCACAGTAATAGAGGCCAGTGAATGAACACAGCTTAGGCTTCACAAAGGAAAAGCCAATCTGTCTGGAGCAGCCTGGAAAGGAAAGCACAAACTGTAAGGGCATCTCAGACTGCCAGAATCTAACCCCTGACTACTGGAGAACCTTTTGCATTGAGCTAGCCTACTCCCAGCTGCTGGTCTCCAGAGAAGTCAGTGGAGTCCTTGGGGTTCTCTGAGCTTGGTTGTTTTCTTGCAAACACTTCATTACCTGGCTTAGGTAACATCTTCAGTTCTAGAATGGAGTGGGGTTTGGGAGTGGGGGAGTCGAAGAAGTCAGTCTTCAACTCCCATAGTTCATTTGCCTGCTTGGCCACTGACCTTACTAACAGGAGGATATTAGAGCTGAAGTCCAAGATACCCAAAGAGCCTTGGGTGGGAAAGCTAAGAAGCAGCTAACACTCAGCCTTATCCTCTAGATCAAAGTTTCTCAATCTTAGCAACTTTAAGATGTGTGGACTGGCTGGGGAATTCTGGGAGTTGAAGTCTCTAGATACTCCAGGCAAGAAACCTCCTTTCTTCTGTGTTACTTCTTCATTTTTAAGATGAAGAAAACCCAAGGCCAAGAATGTTTTGGAACACATTATTAGCCTATTTGTTACTCTGATTTTAGCTGGGTAAAAATATAATAATGCGTCCCACCCCATGGCTGGAAGGTAAGATAAATCTCTTCAGAAATCAGGAAGTGTTGCCTGACCTTTCATAAAAGGGTAGCCCACTATCAATCACTTGTCTTTATTATCAGATTTACTACTAAAAGTATAACATTTAGATTTTCTCTTGTGTGCTAAAATGTCTTAGGACTTCTCTGGCAAGGAGCAAAATGGATTCCCGGATTTTCTGGTCAATGGAAGTATTCTGAAATTCCTGCACTTCATTGTAAGAGGCTCATCGGCACCATCTTGTTTCTGGAGCCCTATACTGAAGGATTCTTGGACATCTGCCAGTTTACTTCTTCAGATTTATCCAAACTGCAAAAACTGGATATTTGCTGAATTTCAGTCTAATAATTACAGATACAGGAGTAGTTCAATGTGTATCTATAGGAGCAAGGAGAAACTAAAAGCCAAATGTACGTGCAAACAGAGAAAAGTGCAGCCAAGCCACCAGCTGGATTAATCTGTGGTCTATTTAGAGATGACAGTGAAATTATGAACTAGAGAACAATAGCAGCAGCTTGCTTCACAACACATAAGACCTGCCCATCACACATTGTCTGCCCTTCCTACATCCTTCTTCCTGTGTGCTCACAACCTCTGAACTGTAAAAAGACCAGCTTTTCACTGAGCCAGAGATGAGTTCATGCTAATTAAAGAACCCCAAACAAAGTTTCTTCCAATATTCTATGCATGCTCCTTTAAAGTTTTTCAAGTTTTACTTTATCATCTTCTTTGGCAAATAGCCCTGAAAATAAAGTGTGGTTTTGGCATTTATAAAATGAAACAATGCATAAATTACAAAAAACAGAACAATTAGACATTTCAGGACTGCCTCCCCCCGCCATTCCAGCTTAAGAATTTGTTATCTCCATTAGTGAAACTGATATTTGGTCATACCTGGAAGAGATTCATTGAAATAGAGGCCTAAGTTAATAATGACTTGTTTAAGACTTGCACATTCCAATGACTTTCCTCAACACATGATTAAATGTGGAACTATGTTAGAATTAGCACTGTAATGACAAAGGCCACCAACCATCTTGTATCCTAAAATCACCTTAACTACAAAAGAAAACAGGGAGAACTAAAACCCTCAATCTTAGTTGTTTAATTGGAAGAGGAAATATATTTTCACTTATTAAAAAAAAGCTTGAACTAAGTTTTCTTTTTGCAGCCATCCCACACATTCTTACCTGCACATATGAAACTTTGGCAGTCCAGGCCCTTCTCCATGGGGATGGCAACCAGATACTGCAGCAAGTATCCATTCTCCTTAACTGTATTCTTCAGGATTGCCTGTGAATTGCCATCCAGGTTGCCTCCAAGTGTGAGGGCCTCCTCAGCCATTTCCAGGTAGGACATGAGCACCCGGCGGACCAGGTCTCGCCAATCAGCTGCCTCCTCTGCATTCTCAGCTCTCAGCTTCAGCACTGCTTTTGAAGTGATGATCTTGAAAAATGCGGGTCCACCCAGGCTCACATCTGGCAGGATATCTTGGATGGTCTCAATTCCAAAGCTGTTGCTCAGAATCTTTTCATCATTTCTGGCTTTGAAGCATTTCAAGGCTTCTAAGGACAAGGAGAATACGAAAGGGACCCATGCTTTTTCAGCCTCCAAGTACAGGACAGACTCCTTGACTGCATCTAGCTCAGGTGCCAAGGCACATGACCAGTCCAACTCAGTTGGGCCAGTTCCACCATACACCAAGGAAGACAAATCACCGGGCCGTCCACCTGCTGAGAAATCCTCGGGATCCTCCACAGCCTCAGGGCACTCTAGAGTTTCCCACCCTTCATCCTGTTGTGGCCTATACTTTTTCAGGGCCTCATGCAGCCGGTCCAGCCAGTCCTCTGCTTCATCCTGAGAGGCAGCCCGAAGGCACAGTCGTTTGTTGGAAAAGACCAGGTCAAAGCGGCCATCACTGTGAGACCGTCCTAAGGACTCGCATCTCAACAGGGAACAGTTTTCCACACATACTCGCTCCTCACAGTCTACAAATAGCCGCAGCTCTAGAGGGGAGAGCTCACAGAAGAACTGCTTCCAGATGCCCATACCCCCTCGACGTTCCAGGGTCCCCAACTTCAGGAGACCCCGAAATGGATTGGAAAGACCTGCAGGTGGGAAGAGAGAGGAATAGTTGTATTAGGGCACTCTCTAGCATGAATGATGTTTCTGTAAACAGCAAAGAGGATGATGCTTCCATTGCTATAAATTCTGCTAACCACCATACACATCTTTTCCTCCCCTTCCACTTCATCTTTCTTCCTTAGGCAAAACACAAGTTACCTATTTGTCTCCGATGAACAACACTAAAGCCCTTCCGCTCCCTCCCAGGAGACAGTTTGTGTTTGCTGGGCTCTGCGGAGGACACAGAGAGCTCGCCTTGATCAGGGACACTCAACAGCATGGCAGGTTGGCCACTGGCAAGCCTCTCTAGTGAGGTGCTGGGAGAACTGGAGAGGCTTTTTCCTGTTTCCTCAGGAGGGGAAGGAAGGTAAAAATCATCCTCAGTGATCCAGCTTCTTTTCTGTTGGGAAATAACACAAGAAGCAAGATAATATTTGTGCTACTATCCAAACAAGCTATTCTTCTGGCTTGGAGTTTACTGAATTCAAAACAGCTGGGCTGATGCAAGAAAATAATAAATTGCCCTTAGCAGGACAGCCTGCTGTTGTTGCTATCATGGAAGTGCTGTACAAAATGTATGAGCTTTTGACAGAGCTCAGATTTGATGGAACCAAGGCTGAGATGGGAGCAAGAACAGGTGAAAAGAAGGACTACAATGTGAGTAATGGGAAAGGACTGATGGGATGACTCTGAGCTTTACTAGATTAAACAGGAGTAAAATTCAGGGTCGATAATAGCAATATCCTTCTGAGTGCCTTTTACTGCAAGTGTCCAGCAGAGCAGCCATTTTGTAGTTGAGTATTATTTTAAACTTCTTGGGCTGAGAGCTAGCACTAAACACAGGTCATTATTATGACCTGCATTTGGAAGGATTGATCATCTGAAAGGCACTATGATTCAAGCCTACCATTTGAAGCATCAAGAAAAATGGTCAACCAATTTAAACATCCTGATGTAAAAAGAAATGCAGCCTGTGACAAATCAAGCATTTAATTTTTAAATGTCTACTAATTTTGAACAATCGAAACACATACATACACAGAGAGGGAGAAACATAAGCAAAATTGAAATCTGTTTTTTTAATTTTCATATCATCATGAATCATTCTTATAGAAATTTGGGGATGGCTGGGAAAACATTGGACACTATATCTTACAGAGATATTCCATAGTCTTTCTTCTGGATGTCTGCGGAATAGATGGCTGATATTTGGGAAAAGCAATCTGGGCAAGGTGACATCACTTCCTGCTGAGTATGAAACACAGACTGGCTCATAGCCAGGAATGAGGCACTATAGCTAGAGGGAAATGAAGCCAAGGACAGGAAGTTTCGGTGCAGCTGCAGGAAAAGCATTTCCGGAGGTGCAAAGGAACTGCTTCATCAATATCATTCATTCATTGTGAGGCCCCTCACTCGTGAACATGACAGGCTTTGCCACTTCTCATTTTTATAAAAAAAAAACCCTGGTAATCACCAGCTATTGAATATGAAGGCAGGTAAGCCTAACTCCCCAATCCTGGATGGAGTTTATGGATTGTATGGATACCATTACAGTACCTGCCTATTTACATTTTAGTAGATTTGTTTGTATTTTCTATATCTTTTTTTTCTATGCATCTTGGGTTTATGCTAATTTTGTTACTTGATAATGTTTGTTAATCATAATTCAATAAAAACAAATTAAAAAGAAAAAATGAAGGCAGGTAAGATGGCCTCAGGTTTCCAAATAATGAGTTAGCATCCCATAGTGAATAGCAGGCTCAGTCTCCAATGGGATGTTTCAGGGAGATTTTAAAAATTATTTTTTAAAAATTAATGCTTTTCCTAAAGGTTTTTTTTTGGGGGGGGTACTAAAAATTAAAGCCCTATTTTGCATGCACGATGCCCAAACTTTGGCTACATAAACAGCTCTCCAGAAGTTGCTGAACTGTGGCAGAAATACCAGGGGTGGCCAGGGACCACCCTTACTATTTGGGGAGGGTCAAAGGCCTCTCCAGATGAGGTAATGATACAAAATGAGCCAGGATTTTCCTTTGCTTTATCAAGTTTAACAATTCTTTAAACCACGCTAAGCTTATTCTAGGGTTAGACTAAAGTTTTCCATGTTTTCCCCACTTCAAAGTAATGGGGAACCAGGCTGACCATTTTTGGCAATGTTATTACCAATTTTTGGCAATGTGGCCAGAGAGAGCTCCAGTGGCTGCAAAAACAAACAAAACAGAACAGAACAAAACAAGCAATTCTTACAGGACAGACCACTGGTGAGACTGGTGAAAGAAGCTGGTCTGTCCCTGGAAGGCTCCCTTCATAACTACTGACTTCACTCGTCCGGCCTTTAGCTCCTCTCTTGATGTTGCGATGAGTTTGGGACATATCCACAACTTCTTTGGCCACAGGTATTGTGGCTAGCATGGAAGCCTGCTGGACACTGGTACTACTAATAGGTTCTCCAGTCTTGGGTAAATTGGGAAGCTGTGAATTTGTCATCATTGCAGGTGGTGTGACATCAACAGGGCATTTTGCCATTACAGTACGAGGAAGGTGCACAGTGCGGAAACTGGTGGCAGGGCAGGGGTACTCTGGTGGGGAAGACTGAGAGAGGATGTAAGCTTCATGAACTCCTACAGATTCCAAATTTTTCTGTGCTCTGCTAAATTCTGCTAAGACCCTGGAAAGAAAAATAAAAGTTTAAAACATTTGCAAGAGAGAGAACAACAAGTCTCCAGTAATTCCATCTCTCAATGTACCACATGGGGTCCAGTGATAAGGTAATCAAAGATGACTGAGGTTAGTTACATATAATTCAATGTATCGAATAAATGTTAATTCGTCATTTCAAGATCAAAATAAGGTACTTTAACACATGAATAGAATGGATGCATTCTATGTACTGAGTTGGACTACAGGATTAGAATGGAGAAGTTAAGTGTTCATCATACACAGTATTTTGGGAGTGAAGTGAGGCTTCTAGTCATAGGGATAATATATAGGAACTTGGCCATGAGTTCAAATTGTTCCATAGTTGTGGATTTACTGAGTAAATCATTCAGACAAAGCCACAGCTTCCTCAAGCTCTAAAAATAGGACCACTGACAAACTTATAATTGATAAACTCTGACTGTCAGATATATAATGAAACATTAAACACATTCAATGTTTAAGCTTGTAGATAATGTAACATACTGTGAACAAATCCATGCTGCTGTAATGTCACATACAGTAAATGCCAAAAGGAAAATCAGAACAATTGTCATGAATAAAATGGAAAGTCTGTTTAACCAAGGGAGAACCTCACACACAGTCAAAGAGGTAGAAAAATCTCAGAAACAGGATTAATAATAGGAAAAGCAATATTCTATTTGAGGCTTGGAAAAAAGGCAGAAAAGAAATGCAGATTGACTTCCCATACTGATCAGCCAATCACATTATTAAGAGCCCAATAAATGTTATTTTAATGTTATGCTGAATCCCACTGAAAGTCTGCTTTAATGCTTGCAGAGCTAAGATATAATATGGTATATCGCTTTCACCATCATACTCACTCTTGGAGGGACCGGTCCAGGTCTGCTGTTGCTTTTGTTGTGTCAGGTTCAGAGTCATTGGAGATGGGCTCTTCACCCCTGCCAGGGCTGTGGGTGCAGGCAGAATTGGCTGGGAGAACACTGTCAGATCCAAGGCTGGAAGAGAGCTGTGAGGAACCTGTTGTGCTGATGCTCAGGTTGGAAGCTGTGAGTTTATCTGCCTGTTGACTTTTAGGGACAGGCAGGATGGCTGGGTGAGCTTCAACTTCATCAGAGCCAGAAGACTGCGAGAGAGAACTAAGCGATTCCTTTCTTCGAGGTTCCAGCCCCACAAGAGGGTCCAACAGTTCCAAGGCAGGGCAAAGGCCTGACAAGGATAAAGGTGTGATGGTCCACTCATTCAAAACTGCTGACTTATAGGAGAGGTCAAAGGCCAGAGAAGACAAGCCCTGCAGATAGCTGAGGAGAAATTCAACCTCCTCAGTGTCCAGAAGAAGAGCAGGTGAATGGTAATATTCAGAGAGCTGAGCCTTTTCATGAAGCAAGAGTTTTAGGTAACACTCCATCAGGCCATCATTCAGAGCCAGCCTCAACCATGCACGGCAACGCCCCACATCTGTATTGATGAAGTCCAATTGTTCCAGCTCAGAAATTATGTTTCTGAAAAGGAGAAATAGCCAGGAAGGGGAGAACACAACGTCCATTAAAAGGACAGCTCTAAAAAGCAATGGAAAGCAAGGAGGCTACCAATGGATGTGACCACTGGAAAAAGCTGGGTTTGATGCATTCTCTTTTGGTGAAAATACCAGGTGATAAGTGAGCCACACATAATTGTACCATGGGGCTTCTCTATCTACTGAACTTGCATAAGAGGAGACAAGTTCTCTAGAATTTCATACATCAGATGATTTTCTGCACCAAAAAACCTCATTCCTGCATCATATACTCACCCTGTAAATAAACACTGAACACTATTGTAACTTCCCAAATCAAAATTGCAGCATCTCTCAGTCTCACCTGTGCGTGACAGATTTTAGCAGGGCCCAGAACACTGGCTGGGGAAGGCGCCCCCCATGTTTTCTCCCTTTTGCTCCAACTTCTGCTTTGATGTGCTTGGTCTTCAAACCATGCACAAACACGGCCTCCAATACACAGCAAAGTGTATTAGCATCCCGATCATCACTTGTTACAAGAGCATCAGAGGTCACGTAATGCTTCTGCAGGGCCTTGATGGAGTTCACCAGCTGTTTCTTGATTAACTAAAGTAACATAGACACAGGCTGTCTTAGGTTGCACCAAGATTATATAAACTACCCCACTCCCAAATTAATGCTGTGTAAACACTGGCAGATCTCAACTGGTGAATACTGTATTAAGTTCTGGGCAATGCAGTTCAAGAAAGATGCTAAAAAGTTGGAAAAGATATGAAAAATAATAATGCAGCAAAGAAACTGTGTTGTTTGAAATAGACCATCTGCTCCTATGTTGGTGCAGCACTTGTTTGGAAACATTCAAAACTTTGGTCTCAGATAATAAAAATACTTTTTAAAAGTTGTTATATTATGAATTATCCCTTGAAGGAGAAGACAGGAGGCTGATTAAAGACATTTCATAATTAACCCTCAAAGCATCCCTGGCTCTTATTATCTTAAGGCTGATCTTGCCCAAAAGCACTATTTTCAAGATCTACTCTTTTAAACTATGCAATTTGCCTTACTTAATAACTTTTAAAATATCCTATTCAGCAACATGTTTTTACTATAAAGCTTCCCCCTTCCTTCCAAAGTTCCAGTTCAATTCATTCATTTCCTGCTAGTGGAAAACCAGTTATCTGTTTTTACTGACAGCTAATCAGTGGAAAAAAAAGGGGAGGGGGGACTCCATAATTCTGTAATCATCGCTTGACCATGATCTAACTGTTTTGCTTTAAGCTTGATCACAGATACTTTTCATGTCTGCTATTTCATGCCGTAAAGATTATTTTATTTGAGAGTTTACCAGTACTTAATTTTCCTCTGTTCACACTGTGATATTATATTGCAGTGATCAATAATTAATACCAACTATATGCTGCAAATTTAAAACAGTTTTCTTCAATCTGTTGCTCTTCACTACCATAATATTGAAGCCCAATAACATAACAGTGTTGGGTAAAGTGGGTTTAGATGATGAAGATGGACTCTTAAAGGAAAAATAAATGAAGGCATTAATTGGAATGTAAGAAAAATAAAGAAAGAAACACTAGCAACTACCAAAATGTTGTGCTTTGCTTTGAAAATAGGAAGGTGACCCTATGTGCCGTGTCCAGAAGAAGTCCCAGAGCAGGACTTTAAACCTGAATGCTGTTGTCTATAGTTGACTGAAACAGCAGCATCTTCTGACAGGGTGGAAAGGAATTATACACCATCTATCCATAAGCATTATACCACTTCCATGTTAAGCTCAGCCCTTTCATCTGACAACTTTTTTCCAGCTACTGGATATGCGTCCCCAAAGCCAATGCAACCTTAATTCCAGATATCGGTTCAGGAGTCTGTATTCACCTGGGTAACTTCCTGTGCTCGGCAGCCATTCCCAGTTGTGTGGCTGGAATGCATGTCTATCTTTGCTTCTGTCTCGCACTGACATCACATAACCTGGAGAAAAATAAACACAGAGCACAGCTTTTAGCAGAGCCCAACATAAGCAAAGCAGAATTGCTGATAACTAGTCTGGGCTATCTGTCACTTTCTTATTTATTTACTCAAAAGCAGAAATTGGCGAGTGAAGACACATCTGAGTATGGAGGGGGAGAGAACAGCTGGCAAGATCTTTCCAACTGTCCTTCAAGCAATGTTCCTTACCCCTGATCCCCACTAGTTAGGTTTGCTGAATGATGACGAAAGCATCTTTATCCGTGAGGGATATAAAAAAAATGTTTTCCATGATGGTAATGGCTAAAAAACCTAAGAAAGAACCAAAAGGCTATCTAATCCAGCCTCTAATGGTCAGTAATAATTCCCCTCTCCTTTAGGAAGAACAAAAGAAACTGGCCTAAAAACATGCAGATGCCACAACTCTGTAAGCAGAAAAAAAGTCAGCCACAGAAACACGTTTATGAAGCAACAGATCCAGGTGACTCAGGCAAGTAAACATTGCCTTATATAGCTTAACCCCAAATCCAACCAGTGATAACATTGTTTCACCATCCAAACTTCACCACACATCTAGATCTGGATATGTACAAACATACTTCCCCAGAATTCCCCAGAATTCCTGGGAACTTGACTTCCGACAATACTTAGCAAAGCTCTAAATGTCACATTACATTATTAATTTCCATCCCTCCTTCCCCTCATTTCCTCTGAAGCCCATTTACCAGTCACTGCAGTTAGAGCCCCAGAAAGTAAGCAATTCCTCCCCACCATAAAGCAAAACACAAACTGATACCGTTGATGCTCAAACACCCATCTGCTCCGTTGAGGTGGGTGGATTGGCTGGACAGGGTCACAGGGGCTCAGGAGACCAAGGGCAACAATTGCATTGCTACTCTGGAGAAGGGGTGGAATGGAGAAAATAAGCCCCTGATCTCGAGGCTGGGCTTGTCACAAGACTTCCAGAACTCTGAACACTGCAGTTTTAAAAGCTGAGCACAGCAACTACAAGGTGCATTCCTTTAAACTTTGACTTCCTATCAATGGAGAGGAACTTCACCTCTTCATGTTTGCATGAAGAAATAATATAGTACAGTGATCACACCTCTGGGACCTCATAAATCCAAATTAAAATCTTATCCTGGCTTAGATTCACTGGGTGGCCTTTTAGGAGTACATTCCCTTCTTCCTAAAAATATATTCATAGCAGAATTAATTGGTGATAAGGTTGATTTTCTGGAGTTATGAGAAGAATTGGGACACTACTTTGCAAACAGAAAGCCTTGAGTTCAATACTTAGCATCTCCAGCCATAATGGAGATTTTCTGCACAAATAAGCACTTTGGCAATCTCCAGATATTTTAAATTTCAACTCCTGTCAAACCAGTCAGCCTGGTCAATGGCAAGGGAATGTGGGAGTCATTTATACTAAATGGCAGGAACTGCCTAGCTAGACCTAGCCAGTATTGATCTAGATCAGTGTTTCTCAACTGTGGCAACTTTAAGATGTGTGGACTTCATCTCCCAGAATTCCCCAGCCAGCATGCTCACAGACAGC